TCATTATACTGCCCTGACCACAATTTTTTTCCTTACCTTTTCCTCCTGATACATTTCTTGAGTAAATCCTCCCAGGTCTACCAAAGCAGGTACAGCTTTCACCCCTGATGCCCCCTCAGATTCCTTGAAGATATCCCTAACCTTCCTTGTTTCTGGGTTGTCAATCCAGATAGGGTTGATAAGAATCCCCATCAGCTTGGCTTAAATGAAATGATGTCTTGGTATTGCAGACAGAAATGGCCTCTGATCCCTGCTGTCGTTCACCAGCCAAGCTGCTTTTTGTTGATGAACTTCGTTTCTGTTTTTCTTAGGTACTCGTACAGGCCATCAAGGAAGCAAAGGAGCAACATCCAGATATGTCAGTAACTAAAGTGGTTGTCCATCAGGAGACCGAGATCTCTGAGGAATGAGCTCAGGTAGGAGTATTCCTGCAGCTTGAGAAGACAAAGTATTAGAATATCCACTGTCTCCACCGCAGAGAGCTCTAAAAAGGAACGCTGGACACTCTGGGAGCTCATGACCACAGTGTCTCCTCCAGGACTTAATACCGTGAAGGCAGAGGAGAGGTTAAGTGGTGTGGGAGACAGAGCGCTTATTAAGTATTTGGCTCCCACTTAAGCAACCAGGTCTCTGTGTCCTCTGCCCTTGACTGTGCCAGCAGTGTAGGATAATGGGAGGGTACCCCAAATTTAGAAGTAAATCCTCACCTCCTGAATCCATCTGCACCCTCCTGCTTCTCCACTTAATCTTTCCTCTCCTCTCCTCTCTGCAGCTGTAAGCCACCTGGTACAGCCCACACCTGTGAGGACCAGAGTAGTAGAGAGAAAGACCAAGCAGAACAAGACTGGGCTTTCAGGAAATGGGGAGGAAAATAGGGGAGGAAAATTGGAGTCCTGGGGCCAGACTAGAGAGTTGGAAACAGAGTAGCTGCTTTCTGGAAACTAGGGATCCAGATGATTTCATACATAAAAGTAGTTCACAAATAACTGGAAGAAATCATCAAATACAAGATAAGGCTGGGACCTGTAAATGATCTCAACCCCCAATTGTCACTTGTGGCCACAAGAACTAACTTGCATTGGAGTTACATCAGAAACTAATGGCACTCAGCAGCTTTCTCCTTTGAAGGAGTTTAACTATTTGCTCTTTCTTTCCTCTAGGAGCCATTTTACCCCCAACCCCCTGCCCTTCTTCCATCTAAGAGAAAACCAGCAAAACGAGGAAGAAGCTAAACTGGAGGAGTCAGACTTTGAACTTAAAAGATTATTCTTAATCACCAAAAAATGAATTTCCTTTTCTATTTGGAGTTTATACCAAGTGATTCTTATAGTGATCATTGATCCTTTTGGATCCTTTTTTCTATATTGTGATACCAGAAACTTTTCAACTCTTCACTCTATGGACTGGTTTTAAGTAGTTTTGTTTTGATTTTGTTTTCAAATGGGGTGATTTGTACCCCCTTCAACCTAGACAGTCTCCAATTATTCCCAACCCAGACACTGACAGGGTCCACAGAATTCTCTGGAAAATCCTCCAAAAACTCTGTCAGCTGTGTTGGAGGCCAAAGCCAGCTTGATGAGGGTTCCCTGCTCCTCCCCTAATTTTATACTCTTTGGATAATAGGAAAAAACACATAAACCAGCTCTTTCTTAGATCCATTGATGTCACCAGAAAGTCAGGCCAAATGGCTGCCCTGGCTCCACAGACCCTGGGAAAAGACTATAGGCCCTCATTTTGTTGGGGTGACTTGGGGGAGCCAGAGGTCTCTAAGAAATTAGTGTTTTTCTTTTCTTCTTCCCTTCTTTCTTGTTGGAGCTTCTTTAGATCAAAAATAAAAGAAGGGGCATCACATCTATCTGATACTGTGAATGTTTGAACATATCTGTGGCCTTCACCTTCCTGTCCTCACTCCCCAGCTGCCCTTTGACCTCATTAGAAGCAGTGGCTCTATTAAGTACTCCCCCTAGCTGCCATCTCAGGAGACCAGAACTCACGGGGGTGGGGAGGTTGATTCTTTTGACCAAAAGCTCTCATAACACATTTTTAGCAGTCATTTGAGGAAGTAAAGTAATTGAGGTTTTTAAAAACGAGGTTTTCTAGTTCTGGGAGAACTTGATCCTAGGGAATGGTGTGTTTACCTCAGTCTGATCCTGGTAGGAAGTATTTCCAGGTGATTATTCCTGAGCCTCTTTCTTAATCCAGGGAATAAAGGGATGTGACCCAAAGAGCAGTTGTGTTTCTTGATCTTTCCTGAGGATACCATTCTTGTACAAGAGAATGACTTTGAAAGCCATCCTTCCCACAAAATGACCAGGGCCACTCTCAGGTTTTGTAGGTTTGATTTTGTGGTGGGTTTGGAGTTTGGTTTTTTGTTTGTTTCTGGAAACGTGAGCACTGATATACTCAATTCCACCTTCTTGAGTACCTTCTGGTAAAGATTTTAGAACCTTTCATTCAGCTACTTTTTGAATCTTCCAGCTTGCTTCCTATAAGCAGACTTTCCTGGAGGTTTATTAGTCTCCTAATTCTAAGGAACTCTGGTAGCGTAGTGGTTACGAATAGGGCTGCTCACCTTAAGGTCAGCAGTTCGAAACTACCAGCTGTTCCACAGGAGAAAGATGAGGCTTTCTGCTCCTGTAGAGATTTACATCCTTGGAAACCCTGTACAGGGTCGCTATGAGTTGGAATCGACTCCACGGCATATAACAATTCTAAGCTAGAAGTAAACAGACAGTAGGTGCTAGGGGCTCAAAGGCAATGAGCAAGAGAAACAGCTCTGCTCCCACCAGTGGCGGTCAATAGGACATGTCCAAAGTCTCTGTTGACTGGGTTTTGCCGGAATAGTCTAGCTGGTTTGAACTGATTTCAAGAGTATGAATTTGCCTTATAGTGCTCATGTGAGGCTACTCTTAACCTGCAGGCAGTTCTGTCTAGGGAGAAAAGGTGAGGAAACCAATGGGATGTGTGAACTTGGGAGAAAGGACGTTGGCATATCTCAGGAATAGACTTCCAGGCTGTGGGCAAAGGATCTGAAATGAAGAGCTTTCTGGGTAGTGCCTAGTTCCATTGGTTAAAAGTACAGCTCACATCAAACAAGCATGCAATATAGGCTTGCTTCCCAAGAGTTGTCTGCCAGTGACCAGTTGTTCTCTTGCTGAAAAAGCTATTGGCAAGGAGGGCTCATGTGTGTCTGTAAAAACTGAACATTTTTCCTGTGTGCTCCAGAATAGTGCAGCAAGTTGGCTGTGCAGCACAGCCCCAGGAGTCAGGGGGGTCTACACTTCCCTTCAGCTCTGTCCCTGGCTCACTACATTTTTCTGTCTATAAAGTGAACCAGAAGACCTCTAATGCTTTTCCAGCTCTGAGAAGCCATGATTAGAACAAGCCCAGTAAGAGGGGTGTCTTTCCAAGCCTGGACTTCCTCTTTCCTCCCTCTTTGGCAGCAAATCTTGGGATGTGGCAAATGCTTGAATTTTTTTCTTCTTCCTGCAGTTGTTGTTGTGTGTGTGCGTGTGTGTGTGTAAAAAGACTCTGTCCAGGTGGAAATGATGAAGAGGGAGAGAAGAGTGATACCTTCAGGGTCAGTGATTTGGCAACAATTTTCCTAAAGTGATTCAAACACACCACAGTAACAACTCTTGCTGCATTTTTATTTTTACTTGAGAAAGATTTCCTCTGGCCACATGAGATCCCTGCCACCACCCACCCATCAGCACAGCCGGACCTGAATTCATAAAGCCCAGAATCCACTGAGCCCTGGCTGCTGGGGGCTCTCAGGACATCTCTGCCCACCCCAGGCCCACCACCATTTTTTCTGCAGCTGGCGGTGGGGAAGCAACAGTCCACCTTGGACAATGGAGGCAGAACCTGACCAACATCAAGGGATGCTCATGGGAGATCTCTGTCCAGGATCTCAGCCCCAGGCTGGTTTTGTTTTTACAAATCTCTCTCAAATGTATTATTTTGGTGACAAAAATGAAGGAGCTTTGTAAAATTTTTTTTTAAATTACGAATCATTATCAAGTAGTTTACATTTCTTGATAAAATAGAAATGATGGCAGCAGAATTAAATTGGCAAAATCTTTACTAGACAATAATTAGATCTGCTATCTTGGCCTTTTGTAGTAAGAGAAGTGGTTGTAGTGTTTAGATATGTGTTTGGTCTTGCTTCTTGTACTGCATTTTTCAATAAACTTTCAAAAAAGGACTGACTGTGAGACTCGATCCACTTTGAAGTTCTCTTCTCCTACCAGCAGCAACTTGGGAAAACTTAAACATGAGTGAGGTGGGGGTGGGGGAGAACCAAACTCAGGTTCTTTTCTCAACTAAACTACCCACACTTGCCAAAATGCTGCTTCAGTGGTGTATTTTTGAGAACTGACAAATTCTTTCTGCCAACTGGTGGGAGATTTTGCAGCTCAGACCATGATAGAGGAAGGCGAGAAGGTAGTTTCTCCAACCTGTTTGGGGATGGGCCAGTGAGAAGGCATAGGCAGTAGTGTAGCCATAGTGAGATGTCCCCCGCATGGCTGAGGGAAGAAAGAGACTGAGGTGCTGGGAGTTAAAGGCTCAGTCCCAATCCCAGATGGCAGTGAAGGGTCTCAGCACCACCCCAATACCCATTTTCCCAGAGGGCCAACCAAACTCCATCACCAGTGCCACCCTGGAGGGAGCTGTCCCCAGCCTGTAACATCCCAGTCTTAAGGGTTCTTGCATACCACTTTGGGTTTACTAAGACACCAAGGACATCTTCCAATCGACCTGGCCTAGACTTCCAGCCCTATCAGATACCTGTCCAGAGCTAAGGTCACGTTTGGAAGCTGAAGGAATTCCTGAGGCCGAGTCTTGTTGGTTTCCAGACTCCACATTAAACATTCTCTCCAGCTCAGCTGAACGCTAAAGCAGTTGGTATTTCTCTGCTGACAATTACAAGGTCAGGATACCTTAGCTGCTGGGGACAGAGCACCCATCCTATTCCTTGGATATAACTGAAGCCTCTACTAGACCTTGGGACTCCTGGTTCTGTTACCGTGACATACGTTGCCAACACATGCCGGGACGGGCTCCTCAGGCTCGGGCCCCCAAGTTCCTCCTCCTCCCAACTTGGCATAACCTCCCAGACTGAGGCGGTCCAGGCGTGGCCAGCTGCGGTGAGCACAGTCCCGAGCTGCTGGGGTCCCAAGCAGGAGCTCTCCAAGACCTAGATCCAGAGACTTGGAGTGTTCAATGCAGGAACCAGAGGGCTGCATGGTGATGATCACGTGGCCAGTCTGGGTCCGCGGACCCCAGGGTGAAGGCAGTCCTGAGCCCTTCAGCGGGTAGCTGTTGAGCAAGGCAGGTAATCCCAGACGAGGATTAGCAGGCTCTGAACGCAGACTTCTCACTGATGGAACAGGTGAGGTACCCCGACGAGGGGACAGGTCCCAAGTTTCTAGTTCTGCTGCGCAGCCTATGGCCCTAGGAGTCCTGGGACCAGGGCTGGGAAAGAGAGCACAGTCCCAGCCTGGGCCGTCGGGGGGCCGCATCGCCTGAGCCCGCAGCACCCCCTGGCGGAGCTGTCGAGTCTCTAAATCGCGGTTCTCGTAAAGCAGCGTGTTGGCGCAGATGAATACAAACAGGCCGACGCCCATGACCACTGGTCCAAGAAGCCTCAGCCTCTCATGGGGGCCATGAGCACGGCCGGCACCTCGGCCCTCTCGCCGCAGCTCGCTCACCGGAGGCGCGCTGGCATTGGCGGCTCGGGGTCCTGGAGCTACAGCACGGTGTGGCCAGTAGCCGGCCACGGCGATGCCCATGCCTACCAGCACTACTAGTGCTCCCAGCGCCGCGAACGCCCCCGACGGCGAGCGCAGCCGCAGCCGTGCCCGCACCCGCAGAGGCTCGGGTGGGGCGCGTGGGCGCCGGCGGCGGCCCAGGCGGCGGCCCAGGCGAGAGACACGGCCCTCGGGGCTCCTCCACGCCTTCCCGCAGTCTCCAGGGCTCCCGGCCGTCATCTCGCCGTCGTCTGGGAGCTCTGCAGAGAGAAGATGGAAGACAGGGTCTGAACCGACGGGCTCCGGGTCCAAATACGAGAGAGAAGCTCGGGCCTCCTCGCCCAGGCCGCTTGGAGATCCCTGGCGGCCACCCCCGGATTTTCCCGGGCTGCGAGTCGAGTAGCCGCCTCCGTTCGGGTTTTCCGCAGCAGAGCTCCGAGCCAGGGACGCACGGCAGGAGCCAGAGTTGGCCCGGCCCGCGGGCGGAGAGGAGACAGGGGGATGGCGGACGGTCCCTGGAGCATCCCTGGCTGCGGGATTCCGACCGCCTGCGGCCCCCTTCGCCAGCTCGCGGGTCCCGGGCCTCTGCAGGCGTGGGAGCTCCCCCGGCCGCGGCGTCTTGAGGGTAAGTACAGCCCGGACTCGACCCCTCCCCCGCACGTGGCTGCACCGTAGTAAAGGAGGGAGGGGCCACTCAGCCCGCCCCGGTCCGCACGGGTCGCGCGCGGGCCCCACCTCCCGCCCCCCTCGCGCGCAGCCTGCTCTTCACATACCGCAGCGTGGGAAGGAGGGGGGGTGTCTCTGACTCCAGCCTCCCCTGGCCCGCCCCCTCCTTCCAGACCTCCTCAGTCAGCACCGAAGCTGCAGCAGGAAAGACTTGAGCTAGACTCCAGGAAGACTGCTCTAAGCAAAAAGAAAGAGCCCGTCAGAGGAGAGGCGGCGGCGGTGGCAGCGGCAGACTTTGCCCAGGATTTCTTTAACTCCAAACAGAAGAGACCCTTCGCCTCCAGCGACCCAACTAGGGCCGGGGCAGGAAGCAAGGGCTTCCGTGTTGAGCAAAACGCCTCTCTGGGCGGGCTCTCCCGTCGGCCGGGCAAGGCTGTTCCCAGGTTGCGGTGTTTCCAATTCGGGCTTCTGGGGATGAATCATCCCCCTTTCCCGCCGCCTGGCCTCCTTTCCAGCCTCCTCCGCCCGAAATCTCAGTGGCCCGCGTCCTGGTTGGGATAGCACCGCCCTAGCGTTCCAGGGTCCCGGGCTGCCCAGCTAAAGCCCCTCCCGGCCGCTGGTCTGATCCGGTCTGCGGCCAAAGAACTGGACCTGGAGCGGGACAGAAGATGCTGGGCTGCGTGCGGGTGGCCCCCCACGAAGGGGAGGGAGGGTGTGGGAGTAAACTGGGCTCCCATCCCAGTACCCGGGCCACAGAAGAGATAGGACCTCGCTGCCCAGTGGTGCGTCCTCACCCCCGCCACCAGACTAGTTTCTAAACAGTTCCAGCGCTGGACCCGGTAGCCGAAAGTCCAGGAGGGGTGGGCCTTCTACCCTATTCTGCATCCGCACCCCTGAAGTGCAAAGCAAACACCCCACCTCTGACTACGACAGGAGCACTGAAGGCCCAGGACCTAGCATGGAGCGCCCACCGCGTCCAAAGTCTGATTTTTACATAGAAACTGCAGACCCAGTATGGAGTCATACTGTTGCACAAGGTGGAGCGCCATCAGGGCCTGACGCCAGCCTTTCGGAACCCCGCCCAACTCTGGGTACCCTTGGGTGCGGCCACGAGGCGAGACCCGTCCCCCGCTTGTCCCAGAGTGTGGAGTCCTTTCCCCAGCCCGAAGCCAGAGAAGTGGCCATCCCGCCCCAGGCCACAGCTGGCGCTCCAGCCCCAACTCTGGAGGAGTCATTCCTGAGCCCCGGCGCGACTCTACGGGGAGAGAAAGAAAAGCGTGCAGAGCACAGAGACCCGGACACCCGGAGAGCGTGGGTCGACACTAAAGACCCCAGGGAGGCGGTGACATGAGGACAGAGCCTGAAAGTCCCAGGTCGCGGGAAGTCCTTCGGGATCGGGTCCCCTGCACTGCCGGGTCCCGCCACCGTTCGCATCCTCAATCTCACCGGGAGGAAAGGGGATACCGGGCTCCCGCCCTTAAAGGCCCTTTAAAGAAACAAAAAGTTGGGGAAAGTGAGGGCGAAAGCCGGACACTAGCTCTGCTCACCTGTCGCCGCTGCGGCCCCGCGGGTCCGAGTGGTAGTCAGCGCCCCCGAGCTCGCGGCACTGCCCAGGTCTCCAAGGAATCTTTGTCCCGGATCCCGCCCCCTGCCCATGCCCTGCCCAGCGCCGATCCAGCCCCGCCCCCAGGAACCCCGGGGACCACGGCTCAGCCCAAGGCTCCGCCCCACAGCTGAAATGAAGCGGTACCTCAAGTGTGAGGGTAGCGGGTAAGCTCTTACCTGCAATGGCAGCGCCATGTGACTGCGGGAGTTGCGGGAACCGAATCCTGCCATCCCCGCACCTTTCACCCCCTGCTTACGTCGTTCACAAAGGCCCGAGACGACGGCCCCTGTGCATATGGGAAACTAAGACTCGGAGTCTGGGACCCCCCTACCTGGCTCCACAGCCTAAACATGTAGACTGGGGACTCTTAGCCTGCATCCTAATTCCCGGGGGAGTCCCACACTCCTGCCTGGCACCGTCCGGGAAGCTTCCAGGAGGAAGAGGCTCCAGTCCTGATCTACCTAACCCACAACCATTCCTGAGTCTCACTGCCGTCATCTGTAAAATGGGCGAAAACCGGGCATTGAGGGCAGAACCCACAGCAAAGGGCGCAGAAGTGGCGGGTTATGGACCAGGTCTGGGCACCGAGGGTGTCCAACGGATACGTCTTGGATCGTATCCCGGCCTTCCCACTCTACCCCCAGAAGCGGCGCTATTCCAGGCAAGGAGCTGAACTGAGACCGCGCTCCCAGCGAACGGCCGAAGGGGGCGGCCCAGTTCCAGTGTCCCACCCGCCTCTGGAGGCAGGAATGCGGAGCGGGCGGGGCGGGCTCGCAGCCCAGTTTCCATGATGCAGGAGGCGGGCTGATTGCCTGGTTCCGCGCCCCGGTCCCCCCTCTAGCTCGCAGCCTGGCCGGGCCCTCCAGGAGGAATTTCCGGCCTGGGATTGATTATAGGCAGCCCCTCCCCCAGGCTGTAGGGACCCCCCCCACACACACGCCAGCTTGCTGGGGGGAGGGGCGGTAATGAGAACTGACTGGGCGCCTTGGGTGGGGAGGGAACTCAAGGAAGTCGCCCGCCAGGGTCACTCCCACCCCTTCCAGCGCGGGAAAGAGCGGGCTCAGAAAGAGGCGAGGGCTATCCTGAGCCATACTGTTCCACCACGCCTCGAACCCAAACTCGGGCCCTCTGGCTCTGCCAAGATCAACTAACTACAGGTCAGTTTCTTGCCACCCTGGTTAGACTGAGGTCTCCTGAGGAGATCAAACGAGGGTTCCCAGCATTCCCTCCGCTTCGACCTCCCGCCTGCCTGCTTCCCGCCTTTTCCTTTGCTGCGGTCACATCTCGACCCTCCACTTCCTCTCCGCCCTTCACACTGCCCCTAGGTAATTACACCTCTGTACTCACAACTTACTGCGCACTGAGCGCGAAAATACCCCGCCTACCACCTGTCCCCTCTCTTCCCACTGCTCTCGCAGGAAACACCAACTACGAGGCCAAAGCCTGAAAATCTCCCAGTCCCTGCTTCTGTCTTTTCCCAGCGTTCCACCTGCCTACTCCTGGGAGCTGAGCCCTTCTAGCTTTCCTGTCTGGTCCCTCTACCCTTTTGGGGGGCAACCCCCCTTACTTTCAGCATCTCAGACACTTCCCTGGAAGCACCCCCAGACACACCATTCCCTGCTCTTCTGTCTTCCCTTCTCTATGAAAGATCCCACTGCCCATCCGCAGGGCCCCTTCGTTTCCGTCTTTTGTCCAGTTCAGCTTTGTGACCCAGCTCTTTTCATCTCAAAGTAGCTACATTTCCCCTTCCCTGCCACCTGTCCTGGTACAGGTCACTAATATCTCCTGTCTGGAGCTCCATGGTCTCCAACCTTTCCTCCTCAATGTTCACTAAATCCAAAACTATCATTTCGCTGCTTGAAATCCTCAATGGCTCCCCACTGCTATCCAAATGTAGTTTAAAATCCTTGTCTTTACAAACTGGCTCTTGCCACTGCCCACTCCAGCCCCTGACTCTGAACTTGTTTCTATCCCCAGACCGTCTGCTCTGGACTTTGATATGCAGGTACCTTGCCTTCCAAGGGGAACAACTATTCCCCTCCTCTTCCCCTTAGAGATCCTACTCATTCTTCAGGTCAGCCCCTTCCCTACCTCATTATCATACACCCTTGTGGCCCCATGAGTATCCCCTTAGCATCCCTGTGCATAGGTGAAGTTACATAATTGTTTGAGAATTGAGTCCGTTTTCTGTCTGTGGTCTCAGTGGCAGTGAGGGCCGGACTGTGTTTGTCTTGCTCATTCATCTCTGGAGCCCAGCACAGGGTCTGATTCCACCTGGCCCTCAGTGTTCAAGGAATGTGTGTACAAGCAAACAAAAAATTAGTTGGATTTGTATACACCAACAATGAGAAATCTGGAAGGGAAATTAGGGAAACAATTCAATTTATAATAGTATATAAGAGAAGCGTAGTGGTTACGAATCGGGCTGCGAACCTTAAAGTCAGCGGTTCGAAACTACCAGCCGCTCCGCGGGAGAAAGATGAGGCTTTCTACTCCCGTAAAGATTTACACCCTCGGAAACCCTGTACAGGGTCGCTATGGGTCGGAACCGACTCGACGGCACTTAACAACAACAACATAAGAGAATAAAATACCTACGAATAAATCTAACCAAGAACATGAAAGACTTATACAATGAAAACCATAAAACAGCTCTGGTAGTGTAGTGGTTACGAGTCGGGCTGCCAACCTCAAGGTCAGAAGTTCAAAACTGCCATCTGTTCCACGGGAGAAAGATGAGGCTCTCTGCTCCTGTAAAGATTTACAGCCTCGGAAAGCCTATGTGGGGTCGCTATGAGTCAGAACCGACTCCACAAACACACAACCATCACCACCACCACCACCACTGCTGAAAGAGATTGGAGAAGACTTAAATGACCAGCTGCTCCATGTGAATGAACTGGAAGACTTCATATTGTTAAGATGTCAATATTACCCTAAGCAATCTATTGATTCAATGTCATCTCAA